ATATGCATGTAAAAGGGAGCCACGATTCCATAATAACTCTAAGCGTATAAAACTAAATATTCAAGTGAGAGTTCCTAGTGTTTAACAAGCCAGCTAGAAGAATAGACTATGACGTTGTTCACCCATGAGGATATGACCCCATGCGATGATGATACATAATGATCTTCTGTGACAGCAGCTCCATGATTCACGATGCGATATGAAAGATAGACTACCACCACTTTTGTGATGAGATCCGAGCAGCAAAGAGAAAGAGGCGTTGCCTCTATGAGTCTTTTTGTGAAATGATTGATATAGAAATCCATAATTCACGTATTGAGAGAGATTGTGATTGGGAGAGACAGATGGAGATGAGAGAAAGTGAGAGAGAAAACGTAAGGCCTTCAAAGGCCAAGTAGGAGATGTTGGGTTTATGTGGCCTTTAAAAGCCTTATGAGTGATTGTGAGGAGATATTTGATACAGTGGATCATAGACTTAGTGAGAGTGTGGTCCCTCATAGACCAAGCAAACGAGGTTTACAGATACTGGCCTGTGCTTGACGGTCTAGGCCAGTTGGTTGGGAAAAACCCATATTACCTGGCCATAGAAAATAAACCGAGAAGGGTTCTAATGGGTTATCCCTTGATGAGGTCGATGTATGCCCGAATGAGAGAGCCGAGGGACTGTGTGACCCTTGTGTGTGATGGTGGCCTACGAAGATGGGGGCCAAAGCCTCATCCATGTACCATCATAAGGCATGCATATTGACAGACCGTTCGGGAAAGCGAGCAAGCACTTTTTAAGGTGAAGCGTGTGCATGTGCGAGAGATACTCCTATGCGCCATAGAGCTGTGGTCGCATCAAGTCTCGATGATATTGACTCGTCTCTAGGGGAGAACCTGAAATATACAGACTGGGATTGCGATCCCTTGGCTCATCGGCTAGACTTTGGTAACGCACTAATGAGGCCCTGCTTGGACTGTGGGTCATGGGCAATGCTGGGTCGGCATGATAAAACAAGTGTGGTCTGTAGTCCATAGTTGAAGGTGGAGTGCCCAATTATTGATTTAATTCCTAAACCATATGGATCATTTTCCATCAAATTAATTTAATTATGCTTTCTATAATTGTGCACATGAGCCCACCATATTTTAGAAGGTGGGGCCCATAAGCCCCTATCTTGGGTCGCACGACACCTTTTGAGGGGATGCTTATCCCATGAGTGACACCTCCCCTTCTTTATGGGATTTATTGATATATTTTATCTCAAATTTGTTTGAGTTGATAAAATGTTTTATCCTTAAGAGATTTGAGTAAATCTTTTAGAAGGCCCATAAGGCTTAGGAATATATATTTTGGATAGAGCACAACATTTTCTTCATTAATTTTTATTTGTTGGGATAATGATCAAAGGAAAGGGGAGATAATGGTTCAATGCATTCCGTACTGTTGATGACCCATCTATAGAATGAATGGCTCAGATCTCTCACCCACAAGTCACCCCTGATCAACGGTTCAGATTCAATCTTGTAAGGCAAGCAATGGGAAGCCTAGACCTAATATTATATATCTCTTTCCTCTCTCAAACTTTATCTTTTAAAGAAAGAAATATGGGGCTCACATCATCAACTCTCACCCAACTCCTTACCTCTCTCATACTTTATCCAAAGAATCTTTCTCTCTCACACTCTATCTAACTCACTCTCTCTCTTTCCTCCCTCTCACGTAACTCCTTTATCTCCTTCCTTTTATTTTATCTCATACTCTCTCTCATCATGCTTTATAAATAGAAGATAAAGGGGGACCACACCGCATTCTCTCTCTTTCTCCTTAAATATTATATGAAAAGGGGCCTTGCCCCATTCTAAAAGCACTCTCTTCTCTCTCTAGTTTTGGGCATTGAAAAGAAATTAAAAAGGAGAAATTTTTGAGGAATTTTTTTTGGGGATTGATCTTAAAGAGTTTTGGGTGAGCATAAGGGTTACATTGAAGAAGCTTCCATTGAAGAGCTTAGCGGAAATTAGCTTTCCTGATTGAGATTGAACGAAGACTATCGATCCCACGCCATCGGATGGTGGTGACTTGGTGTAGGGTGTAATAAGTCCGGTTGAGGTAATCTCCAGCATTCGCTTTTGATTTTTGCATATTTAATTCTATAGTCTTTATTTTCTCAAGCACAAGATTTGTGATTATTTTCTTTGGCTAAGGAAAATTGGTTCAATGGCATCAAAGTTATTAAGATCCTAGATTGGTAAATTTTTATTTTATTTGAAGCAAGAGTTATTGTAATAAGACTACTTGCAAGTGATATTTGCCAAAGAAAAGAAAAGAAAGCGGGTGAGAAAAAACAAAAAAAAAATCCCTAGTAAAAATTACACTTGTCGAACTTTCATTTGACAGCTACTTTGGGTCCATCACCTAGTGAATATAATCCACTAGAAATTTATTTACTATGAAAACAGATGTTACACGTGTTTATTTCGTATTTTTAAATATGTGAAAATTTATTCCATATAAAAAAATATTCACCATAAAATGGCCATTTTTATGTGAAAAGAACTCTCAAGCGTATGAGGTGCCAAGAAAGTTACGCATGGTTATTTTCTCGTAAAAAACTATTCCAAAATTTAGAGAGAAATTATTTTAAATGGTTTTAGAGAGAAGCTTTTTTAAAAATGTTAAAGAGAGAAACTCTAAAAAAAAAAATTGAAACAGAAGCTATCTCAAAATTTTTCAAAGAGAAACTATACCAAAATCTTCGTAGAGAGAAAGTATATCTTCAATTTTTAGATAGAGAAACTGTCTCAATTTGTAAACAAAGAGACTATATTAAATCTTAAGTTTTTGAGAGAGAAAGTATCTTAAAATATTAGAGAGAAATATATCAAATTACAAATTTTAGAGAGAGAAACTAACTCAAAAATTTTAGAGAAACTATCTTAAAATTTTTAGAGAGAGACTATCTCAAAGTTTTAAAGAGAGAAGCTACCTCAAATTTCATATTTTTAGAGAGAGAAACTATCTCAAACTTTTTAGAGGGAGAAACATTATCAAAAAAAATTAAGAGAGAGAAAGAGAAACATTATAAAAAATTAAAATTTTTTAGAGAGAGAAACTCTCAAGAATTTTAGAGAGAAAAACTATCTCAAAAATTTTGGGTTCTTCCTTAGAACTCTATTCCAAGACAACCAATGGGTATCAAAATGTGCGTAACAATCTAAACATCAATTCTATGATGTTTCACCGTTCGAATTGCCACTGTAAACGTCCGAAAAAGCTCCCAAGGCCTAGCAATGGCAAGAAGTCCCTCATGGAGGGATGGTTATTTTTATTTGTTGAAAAGTGTTTAGGGGTATTTTGGTCATTAATTTCAAAAAATATGATTATTATTTTAATACGTTAAATGTATATATTTTTGTAATTGTAGTTGTTTTTGAGTAATTCATCATTGTTTTGGAGCTACTCTATATAAGGAAGTTAAGTCATTTGTAATGAACACTGAGAGACTCTTGAGAGTTTTGAAAATTAATGAGAAGAGCTTGATAATTCTAAGAGCTTAGGCTTATTCTTTTACTTTGATTCCAAACCCATGATTCCAAACCCAAGACTCAAAAGAGAGAGGAGAGAGAAACAATTCCTAGAGAGAGAAAGAACCCCTAGGAACCCTTCACTCCGTAGAACCCCAAAATTCCAACTTCCCTCGAATACTTCACTCTCAATCCTACCTTATGCACTCTAGCTCCCATACAACTTAGAACTCCTAACTCCCAATCCTACTCCATACACCCTACACCTTTCTTAGCTTTTATAAACCCTATCCTACTCCATACACCATAGTATCCTCTATACAACTTAGCTTTCCTACACCCTATCCTACTCCATATACCTACTTTATTCCATAAACCCTAGTTCCCATACACCATACCTCAACCCAACCCACCTAAACCTTAGACCTTAACATTGATCCACAAGGATCAATACTTCTCTCTCTTAAGTTCATGCAAAGGGACCGATGAAGGTGAACCTAGGCTCAAGCCTGTTTTAAGTCTATTCTCTCTCCTCTCCCTTCTCTTTCTTCTCTCTTCTTTCTCTCTTTGCTTTTTCTTTCTCTCTCCTCTCCCTTCTCTCTCTTCTCTCTCTCACTCTCTTGTTTAAAACCTCATGGAGATCAGCCTTTTGTGACTAGTTTTGCTTCAAGGAATTCATCCTCAAAGAAGTGGGCATCTCGACTCTCAATGACCGCTCCATTTTCAAGGTTATAGAATCAATAACACTTACCATGTCTAGAGTAAGTAATGAATATAGTTTTGACAGTTTTAGGATCTAGCTTTGTACAGTTTTGATATGGGATGAAGAAATGGGCCGAGCAACCCCATACCCTTAGGTGATCGAGAGACGGAGTACGACCAATGAATATTTTGTGAAGAGTAAGAGGGATAGATTTTGTGGGAGTCCGGTTTAGAATATAACAGGCTGTTAATATTGTTTCTTCCCAAAAGTCTAGGGAGAGCTTTGCGTGCCCTATCATACTTCTTACTATCTCTACCACGGTCTGATTTTGTTTCTCGACAACTCCATTTTGTTTCGATATGTAGGGCATAGTATATTGATGGACAATCCCATGCTCTACACATAAGTCCTTAAAGAGTTTAGAAGAGTACTCGTCGCCTTTATTGGTTCTAAGAACTTTGATTTTCAAGTTGGTTTAGTTTTCTACCTCCGCTTTATAAATCTTGAATTATTCTAAGGCCTCGAATTAAGTCTGCATTACGTAAAGTGGCCATATCACGAGTGGTAATCAATAAAAGTGATGAAGTAGCGTTTGCTGCTTTTGGTAGCCACATTCATAGGACCGCATATGTCGTTATACATGATTTCGAACACATTAGTAACTCTATGTGCCCTAGTGGAACTTTTCCTTATTAATTTTTCTTGCACACATGATTCACATACTTTAGATAAAACTTATTTTTAATTTTGAAGGATCCTATATTTTATTAGTCTTTCCATTCTATTAAACCCATGTACCCTAGTCGCATATGCCATAAATAAGCATTTAAAGAATTTGAAGATGACACATCAGCAACCACTTTCTTTATTTCAATAGAGTAAAGTCCATCCACAAGCCGACCAATCATCACAACATCCTTTCGAATTTTCACTATAACCTTATCACCAAAGAAGGTAGTGACAAACTTGGCTTTGGCCATCTATGAACTAAAACTAAGTAGTTCCTCATATCCGGAACATATAGTGCTTGTTTTAGAATCAAAGATTTCCCATCCTTCATTACAAGATTGTAGTCCCCAATGTTCAATACGTATGTCTTTTGATTTCATCCCATAAAGATATGTTGCTCACCCCACCCCACGGGAGTAAAAGATCAGAATCCATCTTTGGTGTTTGTCACGTGGGTCGTAGCTCTCGAGTCAAGACACCAAGAGGCACACTTGGGGTTAGCTAGCAAAGTTTTAAAGACCACACAAGCAAGTTCCTTGTTGGTCCCAAAAGTCTTATTTGACAAACAATCTCTTACTATATGGCCAACCTTTTTACAAATAAAACAACCTCTATTCTTTTTTCCCTTTATATTCTCTCTCCTTAATTCCTCTCTTCTTCTTATAAGTGTTCTTTCCCTTTCCCTTAAAAGGTTTAAAGAAGGATTTACATTTTACCATATGCACACCCTCTTTTGGTGCCGGAGCATGGAGCGCATTCCTTCTTTCTTCTTCTCCCTTGAGTAGGGTGATAAGCTCCTCAAGCTTGGGAGCCTTTAGTCGTGCCGAAATGGAAGTGATAAAAGTATCCCAAGAGTTGGGAAGTGAATTCACAAGATGAACCACTTGTATGGGCTCATCAAGTCGAATGCCAGTAGCTTGCACATCTCGGATAAGTGCACGAAAAGTGTGCCTGTGATCCGACATCTTTGTGCCCTCATTCATCTTAAGCTCACTGTACTTTTCATGGCAATGGATTTTTTCATAATGGATGGATACGCAAACTCCTTTTCAAGTTTCACATGCAACCCTTTAGTTGTGCTAATTGACTCATATTCGGATGCATACGAGTCATCCACCATACAAAGCAAGATATGCCTAGCTCGCATATTCTTACGCTTCCAAGTAGCGTATTCACCCTTAGTGTCTTGGGATGAATCGCTAGTTGGATGAGGAGGGTGATGCATGGTCAAAATCTCATCCAACCCCGCCTCATAGAGCCTATTTCCTATTTTGCACTTCTATGAGGAGTTGTTAGTTCCATCAAACCTTTTGGTTTTAAGGAACTCGGAGATGAAAGTGCATGTGGCCATCTTTGTTTCCCAAAAAGTAATCTAGGACTCAATAAAAGTATATAAAAGGAATCTTAGAGCTAGCAAGAATCCAACTCTGATAGAGAGAGAAACTATCTAAACGTTTTAGAGAGAAACAACAGTAAATTTTATTGAGAATCTCGAAATATTTATAGAGAGAAGAAACTAACTCAAACTTAAGGTTATGAGAGAGAAACTATCTCAAAATTTTGATAGGGGGAAACTATATCAAATTTTAAGTTCTAGAAAGAGAACCTATCTCAAAATATTAGAGAGAAACAATATTAAAAATTTTAGAGAGAGAAACTATCTTAAAGTTTTTAGAGAGATAAGCTATCTCAAATTTCAAGTTTTTAAGGAAGAAGTTCGAGAATTTCTAGAGAAATAAACTATCTCAATATTTAAGTTTTAGACTAAAAACTGTCTCGAAAGTTTTAGAGAGAGAAAGTATATCAAATATAAATTTTAGAGAGGCTAACTATTTAAAATTTTTTAGAGATAGAAACTATCTCAAATTTTCAAGTTTGAAGTGCTTTCTATCCCTCCCTCTGCTTGTTTCTAACTGTGTTCTCAAAGTTTCAAGTTCGATTGGTTCTCTCTCTCTATTTCTATTTCCAACTATGTTTGCCAAACATGGGAAAAAGCACGTTTGAGTAATTTTCTCCCTGCAGATTGTTTGCATATGTAATTATTTTTCCTAACCTGATCACTCAACACCAGTGGTTGAGATGGCTGATTTACCCTCATTTGCAATTAGTTTCGCTACAACACCTGCTGCTCTAGCTAATTGTCCACAATTTCCAATTGTTATTTCTATAGTATGTATGACCCTTCCTAAGGGTATATCGGTTGCAGTATATTCTTCTTTTTTATCAATAAAAAACCCTTCCCAAACTGTACATTGGGCTTTCTAGATGTATGTGATGATATCTACATAGGTGAATTGTGTGATGAAGTACCACATGAGTAGATATATAGGAATCCAAATATGCCGAATCACTCATCCAATGATTTTCTACATCCTAGGTCTCTCTTGCAAGATGGACCAGTGTTAGAAATTGCAACTCGGACTGAGTAACTGGTCTTAGCATGAGCCTATTTCTTGGGCCGAGTCCAAGTAACTTGGCCCAATTAGTGTTGAGTACAATAACAACAAAAAAATGGTAAAAACATTGAAAATAACATAAAGAGTTCAAAAAAATAGGAAATATATGTTTAAAATAAGATCAAGCAAAATGCTTCAAAATAATGTAAAAAAGGTAGTAAAAAACTTGATTTTATAAAATCAACTTGTGATTGGGAGTATTTTCAAAATAATCTACAAAAAAAAAAAAACAAGGTATTTATGGCCAAAACACTTACAAAGTTTTGTCAAAAAGATAGAAAAACATTAACAAAATATATCCCAAATATATTTTTTATTTTAAAACTTTTTTATTTTTTTAGAAAACTCTTTTTCTAATATCCTTGAATTGGACACCCAACTTGAGACAACTCAAGCTTGTCCAACTCGGGACAACTCAAGCACAACAAGGGCCCGATAACTAGCCCATTTTGCGAACACTAAGACGGGCATGCTTTGGCAACGTCCGGGAACATCTCCATCGCCTGTACTAGGGTATCATTGGCGAAGACAAAAAGGTCCTCCAGAGTCAGATGCTAACTCCACTCCATACGATATAGAATGAAATTAACAAACAAAGATGAAGATGGTAGAAAAAAAGGGATGACTAATGTTCAAGTAAGGTCGTAAAGAAGGAAGGGCATAACGTTAGGTTCTCCGTGGCTGGATGCCACAACATGGTGTCTTGGTTTTCATTTTTTATAATGGGTGATGACCTTTTTCCAATTAAACTACCTAATAATAAAAAAATAACTACAAGAAAAAAAAGGGAAAATATTTATTTTAGGGGTCGAAACCTTTTAAAAAATCATTAAAAGAGTTCAACTATTCCATTTAACATTCAAGGCGTTAGTTTTATTTGTTATTTCATTCAAATACCTCTTGAGAAAATCCTCAATAATTTTCAAAATATCTTGGTTCAGGGTTGGGAAGGCTGAACATTTCTCTCAAATACCTCCTAAAAAAATCCTTTATAAGTTATAAAATACCCATGTTTAGGGCTGGGAAGGATGAAAATCAAGGGTGTAACAATAATTTTACCTTAAGAGGCCTATAGTTGTTCAAGTTTCCAATCCTCAACAAGGGCATTTGGGAAGTCTTCTAAATTTCTTTTGACGAGGTACTTATGTGGAATAAAAATAAAAAAGCAACCCTCATTTAACCCGTTAATAATGTTGTAAGGGTTTGTAAGGACTAGGCTTTATGAAAACCAAATAAAGTTTCACTTCAAATCCTCATTCGAAAAGCACTTTTGACGATAGAAATTTTCGTGATGGCTCCAAAATTATTTTCCAACGTTAACAATAAAATTTGAAATTAAAAAAGTCATACAGATGTTGTGAATCTTTTCTTTTTTTTTCCCACAATCATAATGTTTAAGCTGTAAAGGTTTTTTCAAAGACCTATGAAGTGAGGAATTACTTTATCTCAATTGGCCCGCAGCCGTATTTCCTATCCGTTAATGATAATTTCTATAAAAAAAATATTTGGTATAAAAGATGCATAATACCTCCAATTTTTAAACTTCCCCACGAGAAACCTCCTTGCGTGGAACGTGTCCCTGGAAAAGTTCAGTAACATTGATGCCATGATTTTATCTAAATTGTAGACTATTTTAACTTTTTAGACAAAAATTATAAAAAATTGGGTGCCAATTGGTTGGAGTACCCACGTGAAGTTGTTGTTCACTATGCATTAATTAAAATGGAACAGCAATTAACAATATTAATCATTTCTTCTGTCCAGTATGTTAGTATTTTTCCTTTCCCATGTCGTCTCTTAGGGCACATAAAAATATTTTTATGTAAAAATTATGTTATGCATATTTGGTTTGCAACAAATATGTATAAAAATTTTGGGGGAAATTATGTAAATATTGGTTTTATTTTTTATTTTTATGAAAATGTTTAAAATTTTATGTTATTACACATATGTCTGTTGTTTGAAATTCATAACAAATTTTTTTAAAAAAAGGCAAAAACCAAATTTATTATTTTTTCCTAGTAAGAGAGTACTACTCTTGCAGAAATATGATACCTTTCGATTTTCTTTTCTTGGGTCACTATTAGAGGGAATATGATACCCGCCCAGGAACCGACAACAAAGAGAAAGTGGAACAATCCTTCCCTCCTCTCTGTAACCCTAGTTTCTATCTCTAGAGCACCTCAAACTCCCGCCCAAGAAATGGCTCTAGAGAGAAAGTGGAACCACTCTTCCCTCCTCTTTCTAACCCAGAGAAAAGTGGTACCACCCTTCCATCCTCTCTTTGACCCAGTTTCTCTCGCTAAAGCACCTCAAAGTGGAAACCACTCTTTTTGCTTCTCTCTCTTCCCACTACAACCTTTCTCTGCCTCTATACAGAAACCTCTCGCCTCTTTTTTATTAAAATCTCTAGCGCCACACCACTTCTCTCTCTGAGCCCAATCCCTCTTTATAATCGATCTTTAGTATTCCCCACCCTCTCTTTACAGCCGACCCCTCTTTCTCTAGAATCCCAACAGCGATCTCTCTCTGCCCCGAGGTCCTTTCTTCTCTCTTTCATTCATCCCGAAACAGTGTCCCTTTTCTTTCTCTACGCCTACAACATAGGCTCCTCTCTCTCTCTCATCCTTTCTCTTTCGGACAACTTCTCTCTCTACTCCCCCCAATTACGGGAAACACCGAGCCTTCGTCTCAATCCCCACCCTTTCCTTCCAAGTTAAAATCTCTCCTTCACCTGCTCTTTTTCAATCTTTTAAAATAAATAAATTTGGTTATTAAAAAATTGAAATTATTAA